AAAATTACAGAGTAAGGAAAAGGCCATTTAGGTTGCTTAGTCCAATCTTATGCAGGAGCACCCAGATAGGTGGTTGCTTAGCCATTACTTAATGCTTCCAGTGAAGCGGATCTACTATCACTTTAACTAGTCACTGTAGAGTTCTTCTTATTGCTGGAAAGTTACCCTCCCCCCAAACTCAACCAGGTTATCTTACCTTAAATCCATTATACCTTGTTTTGTATTCTGGAATGAGAAATATCAGGTCTACATGGGGCTGCCTTAGAAGGCTACTCAGAAGCTGCATTTAATGCAAAATGTGGTGGCTGACATGCTTATTATTGAGAACAGGTGCAGGGGTCCCCAACCCCCAGGCCACAGATCAGGACTAATCTGTGGCCTGTTAGGAGCTGGGCTGCGCAGTTGGAGGTGAGTGGCAGGCAAGTGAGCGAAACCAAAACCATCTCCCCACCTCACCCCCGTCTTCTTAATGAATATGAAATCTTGAGGACATATTGTGCAGTTCTAAAGTAACTGATCATGAAGGGGAGGCAGGAAGATTGATTAGGTAGTCGTCTAGTACAAATTATCTTTCTAAATCTAACATCATCGCAATGCTAACATCATAGCAATTTTCTCCCATGTTCAACAGTTAAAAGAAAATACCAATTAGGAATCAAACTGGTACTGTAGTTTGCTGAGGCTGAAATTAAGAGCAAATGAAAAACAAATAGCCTTTTATTTTTTTCTCAACATTTTATTGAATTATAAAATAAAATGCAAAAATACAAAAGCAATTAGGAGGATGCTGTGGGGAGGTCAAGGGGAAAGAAAAGTGAGGAGGAGTGGGAGAAAAGGAAAAAACTGTTGGCTTCCGACTCCGTCCGCTGCAGTAATCTAATCAGTAAAACCCAATATCAAAGTTTCATTTTTTTCCACCTCAAGCACAAAGTCCAGAAGTGGTCTCCATGTAGCAACAAAAGTACTTATATTCTTTTCTTTCATCAAAACGGTCAATTTAGCCATCTCTGCCAACTCCATGAGCTTCTATAGTCATTTGTCCATGGTGGGAATCTAAATATCCTTCCATTTTTGTGAAAAATTATCTTCTTTAAAAAAAAAAACTAGAGAGAATACAATGTGGTTACAATCTATCCTGTGTTGGGACCCTCTTGGAAGTTAAGAGCAATGGGAGCTTGTAGAGCTACAGATTGTGCACTTGTAGATTACATAGAATTTGTATGAGTATGATCAATAAATGATTTATTACATCTGCTCAGAGGCAAATTATGTTTCAAAAATTACATGTTAGGTCTCTAATTCTGGACAAGGTCGTACATTTAAAATAGCATAACGGCATGATTGAGGGACTCCCAGTCTCAATATGTTTCTTCCCATCTGATGAAATTAGCTACATTGGGCATGTTTGGGTCCAGATTATCTGAGGATTGAACAAAGAACCCTATTCTCCCTGTTTTCCCAGAAGATCCCAGTAAAAAAAAAAAAACGTATTACAGTATTCCCTGGCTTGTCATTTCTGGTAGCTTCTGTTTCCCTGTCTTGTTTTCTGATCTAGTGATACTGAATGTTTTTTGTTGGTAATACTTAGATTGTTGTACACCACCCAGAGACATTCTCTATAAGATGGGCAGCATATAAATTTGATTGATTGATTGATACATTTTCTGCGTGGTTATTTGCCTTTTTTTGGTCTCTAATATTTCCAATATATATGGGATTATGATGTTTTAGTGTGAGATAGATAGGCTGATAATGAGATAATGAACAAAATGTTACACTGTTGCCTTCCTTTCTTGAATGCTTGATAACCCTTTCCAACTATTCAGACATTGATAGTGTTGTTGTTACTGAAGACTGAAGTCACCAAATCTTCCTGCCGAACTCTCATATTTAAAAAATAACAATTTGCAAACTCTTGAATAAATAGGGTTATGGAGTAAATAGAGTATAGGGCACAGCAAATGCTCAGTTTGCCAGCAAATAGCTTAGGTGAAATAAGAACGTGTGGCAAGGATGTATTGAAATATTCTCTCAATCCCGTTACTGTTAATGAAGGAGTTCCTTACTAGCAGTTTACGAATAACAAGTATTCCTTCTCCAAATGCTAGCACAGTAGGAATAAAGATCATGCTTGATGTAGCTTATAACAAGTTGGTAACTTTTATAAGTACCAAGCCTCAGAAAAGTTAAGTATTTTACTGCTCCTACACTTCATGACCACCACATTATGATGCTGGGTTAGGCTAAGTGAAATCTTACATTCTCAGTAGGTAGAGGAAAGCAGTATATTTTGGGATTCAGTTGTTCTTCCTGCTGTTTCAGATGGAGAGTAGTTTTAATATATTTTTAAAAAAAACTAAGAGAAAACTTTCTTTCTTCCTCTCTCCCTCCCTTCCCTCCCATTCTTCTATTTTTTCCTTCCTTCCTTCCTTCCTTCCTTCCTTCCTTCCTTCCTTCCTTCCTTCCTTCCTTCCTTCCTTCC